TTAATATTTGGGTGGTCCAGTTTGCGGGTTGTGTGGCCTAATGCACGGGGTATTGTGCTAGGTACTGGGTTTAAGGTTTAGTGTTCCAGCTTGCCCACTCTCTGTCATATCTAGACCCCTGGCCTTGGACTCTGCTGGCCATACGTTCATAGGAGCTTATGATGTCCAGTCTCTCTGTGAGTGCCACTATAGTGGGCACCGCTTTGCTCTTCCAGTTTTGGGCTAGGAGAATTTTTGCCACTGTGAGTATGTTTATAAGCACTGTTTTGTGGGGGTGCAGTAAGAGCCCGGGTATCATATGTAGCAGGTAGTGTTCTGGTCTCATCTGGATAAAAAGGCCGGTGGTGTTCCTGATAAGGCTTTGTATCTTTTCCCAGTATGAGCCTAATGCCCGACATGTCCAGAACATGTGCAGCATGGTACCCTCCTCCTCTTCACAGCACCAGCACTGTCCGGAGGAACCCCTATAAATGCGCGCTAATTTGTGCGGTACTAAATACCATCTCATGGCTATTTTGCAGTATGCCTCCCATAGCGAGAGGCTCTTGGAAGCACCCTTTGTGATTGACATCGCCTCATACCAGTGCTCCAATGTTAGTTGTTTGTCTAGCTCACCTTCCCATTGTGTCATATATGATCTTGCTTCACCTAGTTGACCCTCGAGGAGGGCATTGTAGCACATGGACAGGGGCTTCCCTAGTTTAGTAGAAAGAATCTGAGCGGGCAGGAGAGGTAGTTTTTTGGGCGTTTCATTTGTTCTGCTTGCTTGGGGCAGTAAAATGTTTTTTGTTCTAAGGTAGAGGAATACGTCCCTTTGGGGGAGGGTGAATTTTCGTTGGAGGTCAGGGAACGCTTGGACTTTGTCTCCCTCTAATAGATCCTTTATGTGATGTATGCCCTTGGCTTTCCAGCTCGTTGTGGGTAGGTCAGGGGAAAAAATAGACATGGCCTCTAACGGCGCCTCTCTGAGGAGCAGGTGCGGGTCCACGATCAGGTGGCTCCACGCCCGCCACGAGCTTGTCAGGAAGCGGGAGCATTGTGATACATAAGCCCCATCAGGTTTAGCGAGGGCATTGGTCCACAGTATACGGGACGTATTGTGTGGGTGTAGGTGGGTATCCTCCAGTGGCAGCCACAGAGGCTTTTGGGAGCTGTCTCTAAGTCTTAGGATGTGTACTCCCTGTGCTAGAGTCGTGGCTCTATAGTAAATCTTGATATCTGGCAGGCCCAGGCCTCCTTTGGTGAAGGGGAAGCCGAGGTTGCGCTGGGCTATTCTTGGGGGTTTCCGTTTCCAGACATGTGCATTGATAACCGATTGCATTAATTTGATTAGTTTGTTAGGGAGTGCTATTGGGATCGTGCGGAAGAGATACAAGATATGGGGCAAAGCCATCATTTTAATTGTATTCACTCGACCCAACCAGGAGATCTCTAGGTTCTCCCATTTCTCCAGAGTTGCTCTCAATTTGTGTATTACGGGGATATGGTTTTCTCTTGTTATGGCTTGGTGGGTTTTTGTCAGTTTAATCCCTAGATATGGAGATAACAAAATTTTTAATGGATTGCACAAAAGATTTGGGTGCAGCCCTGGTAAGACTATCTCTACCACACTGAGCTGGTTATGTGTAATTTTTGCAGTGAATGTAAGGAGTGATAACAGTTAAAAACATGACTCATCCTTTCCTCTTAACTGGCTGATTATACAACTGAGGCACTGCCTTATAAATAAAAATGTACATAGACGTCAATGGCCTGGAGAAGGCTTGTAATACATATTTCATTCTGTTTAAAAGCTATTCTAAGTGATTGCTTGAAAATGCAAGTTTTTAAAGTGACATAAAGACAACTGGATATATAGACACATAGACAGGTTTCTAAAGATGCTAGTGGCCACGCTTTGAGTGCCCAAAAACATACGCGCCTGTACAAAAGATTGGTCTTTCAAAAATCATAATTTGTTTTATATATACACATGCACTTTGTTTTTTTTTTGTTTGCTTGCTTTTTTTTTTTATTCTGTTGAAAATTTATTGAAATCCAAAATTATCTTAATGAAGGCTTAAAAGTAACAGGCCCTTTTCTAAGGTGAATTAGGACAGGGAAATGTGATTGTAATTTCATAAATTGTGTTTAGTTCTCGTTCTGTGTGCTATATCTCTGTATGCTACTTTGAGACTGATTTCACACACTTTGGAGCATGAATTCAGTAGATTAAGCAGGAACTGGCTAGGTTTCTGCTAGTAATTGAATTGATATACATTTTTCCATTTCTGTCTTTGAAGAATAAATAACAAAGATTAAACAATTATATTATAAATTATATTATAAAGTCCTTGGGGATTTTTTTTTTTTTTGGTGTTTGGCCTTGCGTAATAGATAATGTATGTTTTAGTTCTCCTTTAAAAACAGGTTAGTCCGGTGATTATTCAGAGCTAAACTGTATAACAAGATTTACACAGACATGTTTCTGTATGCTCTTGTTCAGGACTTAAAGGGACACTCCACTGCCCAAATACAAAAAAAAATATATTAAAAAAATCACTGTTGAGGGGGGCGGATCCAGTGCCAGCTGGACGCACATCGAGACAGCTCTGTGCACTAAACCCGATAAACCGGGCTAATAACAGATCCAGACCCCGCTATCCAGCTCCAAGGGCTCCTGCTCGATGCCCAAAGCCATGGGGAAGAAGACAAAGAAACAGAGAGCGGACCCGGGCTCCCGCAACATCTGCGATTTTCTACACACAACGTAAATAAATAACAATGCAAACAGCTATTTCTCTGCAACTGCCATAGAGGATAAACAATGCAATGCAAATTAAACCGTGAACCGTAAAACTAAGCATGATAAGTACATAGAAATCATTTGAACCTGTGAGCCAGCATAGTCTAAGTGATGGCATCATGTATGTGGTTACAATATTCTTTTAGGTGTGCTATTTATTTCCAATCATATATCAATATAAAACAATTGCTCCTTTTTGTTTTCAAAGATGAATCTAAACTGATATTTAGTTTAAATTGCGTAAAACATACCCAGTTAGCTGAATGACATATAACTACTGTTAGGTTGTCCTTGCAGGTCCTTTAACATACAGCACTTATAAAAAATGGATTGTTATACAGCTAACTTAGCTCTTATCACAAGTCACAAAGGATTTAAATATATTTAAATATAGGGTGTGAGAACATTGTCTAACAGAACTGAGAATAATGTTTTTTAGTTTTAAATAAGAATTTACACATTCGCCTATTTTATTGCAATGCATTTTATTAGTACATTTTGATCTGGTGTCCAATGACAGGATCACCATATGAAAGCCCAGTTCCCCGTATCAGATATGAAGTGGTGATGGTGCCTATGTGCAGCCTTTCACTTAGAAATGATGCACATACAGAGATTAACCCTTCAGCAGCCAGAGGTGTTACTCAACCTCGGGCCCTGTCGTTGGGGTGTCATCAGCCAGCCAGAACTAGAGTTCTGCGCTGGCTAATTCAATTCTGTGCAATGTTGATTGTTTAGAATGTCAGTCATTGACGGAGAGTGGTCAGCTGACACTTTCAGCCAATAAAGCAATTGGCACTGCTTCCCAACTTCTTCGGATGTGCACAAGCCGGAAGATCATCATTGGACCAAGAGGGAGCATTGGAGCCTGACAGGGACCCTGGCAAGACGGCAAACCATTGCTAAATCTGTTTTACCCACTGCTGGGGAACTGGGTCAGGGAATCTTGGCTTCTTAACCATTACAGCGGGCTCTAGTGTTTATGATACTCGGAGTAACTTTTTAAACGTGAATGTATTTCTAATTGAGAAATGAATTTAATGCAGCTATGCTTTAATATATATATTTTAATTTGTATATAAACTTGTGTTCTGAAGAAAAAAAATTATAAAACAAAGGAACTCTTTTATCATCAAAATTCTTATGCAGCTTTAGAACTTTAAGTGATAGCCATCTAAAACCTTGTATATATCGCAAACTTCACTAAAAAGAGACACTTTATTTTCTCTTACTTGCTATATTTATTTTTAGATGCCTGCCAGATCTATTCATAAATAGCACAGTAGAGATACTCGGAGTAACTCTTTAAACTCATAGGAAGTTATGTTATCACTTATGCAGGCAGTAGTTTGCAAAAAGGAAGTGTTTTGGAATAGGGAGGTGGGGGAAAATACAACTAATTATTTTGAATCAAAACGTAAAAAAGTCATCAAAGTTGTGCTGGTACCTGGAGTGTTCCTTTAATCAAATCTCCAGTATGCATCTTTCATAAACATGTTGTAATTAAGTAAATATACAGTATATGATGCTTGCTGTAGATGCTGTCAGTCAACAAAAGTGGAAACACCAATGTCAAACAACACGAGTTGCCCTGGAAAATTACACAGTTTTTAGGTTCACTTACATTGTTCAGGGTTTAGTATCAGCGGGCAATAAAGCACTTTCATAGAGCCCCACTCTGTTAAAAAATATTGGCTACTAACCATATTTGCATGCAGGTCTACATTTTGTGACATACAGAACCTGGTCTAATTTACAGTTTCTGACTGGTTACTCCTCATACTACATAATCAGTGCTAAATGATTATATAAAATATAACATGGTATTTATGTATGTATTATAACTTCAATACAGGGGTTGGTCTGTGGATGTATTGCTGAATTATAACTTCTGTTTCAATTAGAATTTGTGAGTTTAAGCTCACTCAAGTGTTTATGCTATGATGTGGGATATTTGCTAAAGGAACACTAAGCAGTATAACCACTGAAGTGCGCTTTAGTGGTTATGGTGCCAGGAGTGCACTGGAGTGGTTATGGTTCCCTGGCACCCCCTGAATGTAAGTAGTCATGCCACTTATACGTGGTTTCGTAACTAACCTGGGGTTCGCACATAACCTCTTCCAATAAGCACCTGAATCTCCCTGTGTTTAACTAGCCCGGTGGTGAAGGGCTTACCTCATTGTCTGAGAGAGATCAGCTGATGCTTGACTGCTGACCAGTCCCCACCCCCAGTTGTCCCTAACAAAAACACATGAGACCAGAGTTATGGGTAAGGGCAACGGTCACAGCTTTATTAAGTTTACAACTTTTAACGGACCAGCATTCCATCCAACTGCCAGCTGTTGGGTAACTTCCCCCAACAGACAGATCCCACTTCCTTGTCCAGAGTTCGTATCAGCCTGGCTACCGCCATCAGCCCTCGGTAGGCTGCGACACCCCAAGCCGACTCATCATTTCACTTCACTTTCCATTTCACTGGCCAGGAGCACCGCCAGAGCTGTGACAACGAGAAAACATAACCAGAACCACGAACAGACACCAGGAAAAAAACAACCATTTAGCTAGAACACAGGGAGAGTGGGCAGGAAAGAGTCAGGGCCACCTACATTCCTTCTGGATGACTGGTGAGTCCCCTCCCCTGTTCCTCCTTTTTATGCCTTTGGACTTGCAACATTGTTGTACTCCTGTCCCAGCCCCCTTACTTCTGGGCAGCAGTCATGTCTGCCCTTCCTTTCAGTCCAGGGGCAGTACTTTCAGTATAATTTTCTGTGTGAGTTCTTGAGATTCCTTTATAGCATTCTTCATTTTAGTATCCCTTGCGGGGGCTACACTGATTCTTTTCATGCACACAAGGTTGTGGCCACATGTTTGCTTGAAAGCTAAAACATGATTTACGTTTGTTGCACATGTGCCAAATGTATGCAAAAATACATCATTTGGAAACATTCTTCAACTCAGCTATAGTATATTTTAGCCTAAATTTCGCAAGTTGGTTTTCAGTTTGCTACAATTTATTGTTTAATAGTTAAAAAAAAAAAGTCATTAAATGAAAGGTGTGGCTTTTAGAACACATAGTTGTGTAACAAAAGGTACTTCCTCTTCAGTATTGTACTATAGATTTATTGCTATGAGTATACAATTATTCATAGAATAGGAAAGGTACACTGAGAACCTGAAGGCTTGTCACTTTTTAGGAGTGTTTTTGTGTCTCCACTGTACAATGGCAACTAGAGACTGGACACGATGAAGACTATAGATCAGGGGTCATCAACCTACGGCACGTGTGCCATGCATGGCACTTAGGGTACATTTGTATGGCACTCAATGCTACCAGAGCCAAACAGGCAGGGTCCATCAGGAGTCCTTACTGCAAACTGAGTGATGATTGCAGATGGTGAACGCCATCTCAGATCACTATATCCCAGCACTTGTGAACGAAACCCCACACTGGAGTAGAGCAACCCGCAGCAGCTATTGCAGCTCCTGCCCTTGACCTGTTCCTGGCTAGCCCGGTCCCTACTGGGCCCAAGGAAAGTCACCCACACTGCTAAATAAACACAGAGCTGCAGAATAAGCCTCCCACTTATACAAATAATAGAAACAGTTCACACACTAATATACAGACCCCACAAACACAAAACTATGGACTATATCCCTGCGACCCGGTATGTACCCACTGTGGCCAGCCTCTTCTCCTGGGGGGCCCAGGAGCCGGCCACCTCAGGGCCCCCCGAGGCTGGCCCTTGTATCACCGGGCTGGCGGGCGCGCGAGGGAGCACTCTCCCCTGAGTGCTCCCTCTTCAGCTCCCTCGCGCACCGCACTGATACCGGAGCCTGAAGATGACATCATCTTCCCGCTCCGGCATCAGTACGCGGTGCACGAGCCAGCCTGCCTGCCTGCCCGCCTGGTGACAGCACTGGACCCCAGGAAATGCCCTCAGCACTCCAAACGGTAAGGAGGCTGGGGGATTAAATTTAAAAAAAAAACATGTGTGTGTTAGAGTTAGTGTGTGTGTTAGTGTGTGAGTGTTAGTGTGTGTGTGAGTGTTAGTGTGTGTGTTAGTGTGTGTGTCTGCTAGTGAGTGTCAGTGAGTGTGTCTGTTATTGAGTGTGTGTCTGCTAGTGAGTGTCAGTGAGTGTGTTACTGTGTGTGTCTGTTACTGAGTATGTTTGTGTGTGTCTGTTAGTGAGTCTGTTTGATGTCTGTTAGTGAGTGTGTATTTGTCAGTGAGAGTGTATGTTTTGTGAGTGTGTATGTATGTCTGTTGCTGAGTGTGTCTCCGTCAGTAAATGTGTGTGTCTGTTAGCTAGTATGTATGCGTCTGTTCGTGAGAGTGTGTGTGTCTTCAGCACTTACCTTTCTCCAGTGCCGGACTCCCTTGGCGCTGGAGATCCCTCCACCTCTCAGCAGGAGCCGCGCGCGCATTCAAACCGCCCATAGGAAAGCATTACTCAATGCTTTCCTATGGACGTTCAGTGTCTTAGAATCGCGGAAGCTCCTCTAGCGGCTGTCAATGAGACAACCACTAGAGGCTGGATTAACCCTCAGTGAAACATAGCAAACTGCTATGTTTTCAGCTGCAGGGTTAAAACTAGAGGGACCTGGCACCCAGACCACTTCATTGAGCTGATGTGATCTGGGTGTCTGTAGTGGTCCTTTAAGTGTGTGTGCATCTGCATGCACTGGCGTACATACCGCAGTCGCAGGGGTCGCAGCCCCTGCTCGTGCAGAGTAAGTGGGGGGGGGGAGCCCACGGATGAATTTTCGCACTGGGGCCCCATGGGTCATGTGTACCCCACTGTACATACACACACAAACACACATATACACAATGTGTCACATTATCCAAACACAATTCAACAAGCAGCCTCCATAGACAACCCACATTCATAGGTATCATACACACCATATACAATGCCACATACTGCTCATGAACGTATTCTATACAATGTAACAGCCCACATAGGCACAAATACAACACTACAAAGCAATTGCAGTGCCCACAAATAACACAGGCAGAATACGGCAACATACACACCTCAATTTTTTTTTAAATAGTACCGGCACACCAAAGGACTTCAAAATCTCCATTGGCACAGTACTACTAAAGGATTGACTAACCCTGCTGTAGATCATGGAAAAAAATGTCATCACTGAGTTCTGAAAGAAAGATTTTTTTTACTTCCTCTTTTTTATTACTATGAACTGACTTGTTTTTATTACATGACAGTTTATGGTTGCAGAATAGGCTCATGTTATCACAATATACTTTTGTTCAACTTCCTTCTTTTGGAACGACTTCACAAGTGCCGTGGTGTTTAACTATGCTTCCTGGAGAAATATATAAAATATCAGCAACAACAAAAACAAAGAATAGAGAAAACATTTTGGATTTAAAAGTCCCTGCAAAATAAAATGTGACTTCCTTGTGGTTCAGACAAGAAATGTATGCAAGAGACCATTGCAGTTCTCTAGGAACAAATTGTGTCCTTTTATAGTAAAAAAAATAATTTCACTTGCTTGCATTTTTGGATCAATGGCACCAAATGGGGATGTGTTAAAAAATCAAACTTGACTTCTTTTGATTTTCAATCAATTCATTTTAACATATGTGAGGATAATAATCTCTCTGTCGAGAACAAATCTCCATTAACGTGGCTTTACCTGCTAACAGGGCGGAATGCAGAAAATGTATACATTTCACAGATTTAGGGCCTGAGACTGAGGGAGCTATCTAATTATAATTCAAGACCCTTTCTGTAATGCCCAGAGTTATTTTGTTCTTCTTCTGTTTTCCAAGCAATACTGAGAAGAAGAGTTGTAAGGGCTGTATAACTTTGAATGCTAGGTGTAAAGAAATATTGAATGATACTTGACAGGTCAGCTTGTTGCTCTAGACTTATTCAATGTTTTTTTTATCTCCCTCTGTTAAAGGACCACTATAGTGCCAGGAAAACATACTTGTTTTCCTGGTACTATAGTGCCCTGAGGGTGACCCCACCCTCAGGGACCCCCTCCCTGGGGAGAGGAAGGGGTTAAACTTACCCATTTCTCCAGCGCCAGGCGGGGAGCTCTCCTCCTCCTCCTCTTCGGCTGAATGCGCAGGAGCTGCGCGCGCATTCAGCCAGTCTCATAGGAAAGCATCCTCAATGCTGGCTATGGATGCTGGCGTCTTCTCACTTTGATTTTCACAGTGAGAAGCACGCAAACGCCTCTAGCTGCTGTTACGGGCAAATGCAAATATTACAAGTTTTAGAATGAAATGTTGTATTTCTTAAACTGTGTACTTTGTCTTTGTCCAAGTTAATGGAACTTCCCCAAAACCTGGAATCTCCCACGACTGTACACTTACGACTTAGTATAAACAACAGATAACCTATTCAGACTTTAAGATGCCATCTTGAACTAAGTCAGGAAAATTTCCATGACGTATACACCCTTTAGTTATGGCCTTGTATGTTTGCCAAGTTAAGGGAGGTCCTAAATTGAATAAAGTAAAAGAAGTGTTACTTTTTCATATTTGAACTACAGTAACCTAAAATGGAGACACCTAAGGTATAAATAGGTGTACTTTTAAATGTTAAGACACAGAGGAGAGACTTGGAGACAGACGCTGCTCCATCTTAAAATGACAGAGAGGCTGACATGATGACATGTTCAGAATGGTATGTTAACCTATTAATGATATTTGCAAGCATGTAATTTAATCTTATAAACTCTGCTATAATGGATTTTATATTTTTATATAATAAATATCCAAAAGACAATCTTGCTTCCAAGACAATCCTTATTTTATATTGTATTCTCAATTATTTATATATGTTAAATAGAGGATCTCTTACTAACTATATAAAATTATGGCTAAGATATCTGTATGGTTAGCCCTACTAAGTTCTATGCTTTAAGACATTATAGTGGTAAATAAGGGAACCACACACGGTTACACTGCTGTCAAGAGACAGCCATTAGAGGCTGGATTAACCCTAACATAAACATAGCAGTTTCTCTGAAACTGCTATGTTTATAAAAAAAAATGGTTAACCCTAGCTGGACCTGGCACCCAGACCACTTTGCCCCCCCCCGAAAAAAAACCTGTAAAAAATGTTAACGTTTTTTTTACACTTTGTAAACTTTGCAAAACCGCTGTCAGCCTCTCCTGCAAAACCCTTGTCCTGCCTCACCATCTCCTACAAAACCCCTGTCCTGCCCCCTTCTACAAATCCTGTACTGCCCCCATCTACAAAAGCCCCGCAACCCCCTTCCACAAATCCCCTGCTTATCCCCCCTTATAAAGACTCCTGTCCCAATACAAAACCCCTGCCCCTTCTACAAAATCCCTGCAGCCCCACACACACATTTACAGGCAGACAGTCACACACTCAGTTACAGACAGACAGTCACACACTCAGTTACAGGCAGACAGTCACACACAGTTACAGGCAGACAGTCACATATACATTGACACACACACATGACAGCAACAGACAGTCACACACAGTTACAGGCAACATCAAACAGTCACAGGCAGACAGTCACACATACATAGTCATATGCAGTCACACACACAGTTATAGGTAGACAGTTACACAAACAGTCAGTTACAGGTAGTCACACACACTCATAGCCAGACAGTCACGCACACAGTTACAGAAAGACAGTCACATATACAGTCACTCATACACAAAGTCAAAGGCAGAGAGTTACGCACACAGACATACAGGCAGACACACACACACACACACACACAGTTACAGGCACACAGTCACATGCAGACAGTCACACATACAGTCACAGACAGTCATGCACACAGTTACAGGCAGACAGTCACATATACATTGACACACACACACGACATCAGCAGACAGTCACATGCACACAGTCACAGACAGATATTCACACACGGTTACAGGCAACATCAAACAGTCACAGGCAGACAGTCCGGCAGACAATTACACACACAGTCAGTTACAGGTAGTCACACACAGTCATAGCCAGACAGTCACGCACACAGTTACAGACAGACAGTCACATATATAGTCACTCACAGAGTTACAAACATACACACTTACAGACAGACACACACACACACACAGTTACAGGCAGACAGTCACACACACAAACACACACAAAGTTACAGGCAGACAGTTACACACACAGTTACAGGCAGACAGTCTCACACACACATACACACACACAGTTAAAGGCATACAGTTACACACACACACACAGCTACAGGCAGACAGTTACACACAGACAGTCTCACACACACACATACACATACACACACACACACACACAGTCACACACACAGACACACCCTCTTACTTACAGACAGCGGGCTGGAGGAGGACTGGATTCCCTGAAGTCCTTCTCTGAAGCCTGTGTAAAAGCAGAGATTCCATCTTGATGCACCTCCTAACAGCAGCGGGTAAGGGCCATATTAAGCCCCACCCCCGCTGCCAGTTTGGCTCCGCCCTGATTTTGCTTAGCTCCTCCCCACTTTTCCTCCGTGCAGCCAGTTCAGCTGCTCCTTGCGTATGTGAGCTGTTCTGGCCGCACGGCACCCTAACTACCATGGAGCACTGTGCGGCCATACAGATCACACAGCCCCCTCCAGCACCCAGACCAGGGTTATGGCACCCCCCACCCAGTGGCACCCGGGGCGGACCGCCACCTCCGCCCCCCCCTTAGTACACCACTGCACACGTTAGATGATATCTGAAGAACGAAGCTCTGGAGAGACATTTCCATTTAAGGAGGAATTGGTTGGAAGATGGACCCTTAGCAAACATTTGTAATGGGGTGGACATCAACAGATGAAAAGAAAGTACCAAGACAAATAACTAAAGAGAGATTTAGGAAAGGAAATATACACTGACGATCTCTTGAGGCTGCAGTTATGACAAAGGATGAGAAAGAAACATTGAAGGCCAAAACTATTGTCTGGGGTTGCTCTATTTCTCGTGCAGAGAGAGCCAGCCGGCATTTCGGTTCTGGACTGTGCTTATGGGTGGGATCAGTCTGATATGCAAATGGTATGCGTCATCTTTGTAATACCACAAGTGAGCCAAAATTTTTTTTAGACTTGAGCAGGGACTAACCGAAGAGCAAGCTACTGAGTTTCTCTAAGCTTTTGCCAGTTTCTGCAAGAAAAAATGAGCCTAATTTGTAAAAAATAAATTTAAAAAATGCTATAATACAGAAGCAGTTGAAACAGTTTGTGCATCTGGGAAGATAATAGACTCAACATGCAATGAAAAGGGGTATTTAGAGTGCAGTTAATTATCAGACTATCTCAACCTGCGGCAGAGACATAGATCACTACATACTAAGTAGGCACTGTCAGGTCCACCAGCCATGAATATCCTTCTGGCTCACATTAATTGCTTTCAAAACTATATGAAAATGGAAAGCCAAGTTCATACAATATAAAGTTACATTCCAAGGCCTATGAAATTGATATACAGCATAGCAGCATAGCAGTAATAGGGACAGCCTTGTAGGCCATTCTGAACTGTTGATCTGTCCTATCAGCATTGCCTTTCAATATAACCTATTTTCCTTCCAGTCATTCATAAAAACAGATTTTATTTTATAAATGAGTCAGCACAAACCTTAGCCAGTGGAGAAACACACCCAGATAATGCTACATATTTTATTACATGGCTTTTAAGAGTTGAAACCAAAATAGATTGAATTTCTACGCCTGCAGCTCATGACAGTGCAGCTATATTAAATAAATTTCTCCCATGCATAGGGCAGAAACTGCTTGAAGGAGGGTTGTTGTTTTTTTCTGCTTCATATCCAGCTGTTGAGTCTTAAGATGTTGATGTACAACAAAATAATAATATTGTACCAATAAGAAAAAGCTATTACTGTGTTATCAACACTTTTGTTCTGGACTGAATTTTCCCAGAATTATGAAGACCTGTTAAAATTAAAGGAATACTATAGTGTCGGGAATACAAACATAAATTCATTCATTCAAGGGTTCATTTTAATTAGCCATACTTACCTGTTGTTGTGTGCTGCAGGTCTGTGTGGTGTTTTTCTGCTTTATTTTTCAGATGGATCCTGGCATGGAGGCACTGATGGACGGAATCCGGTCTGCAGTTCGTGAGAGGGGACTTTCCTGGCTTCAAGACTGCCTGGGTTCAATGGGTCCCGGGCCTGAGTCTTCTACTGCGCCATTGCACCGGCCCATGAGGCGGACAAGGCCAACCCAGCGATTGAGCCCCAGTACTGTACCCAGGAGGTGGCGGAGGAGGAGCCCTTCGGCGGGGCCTGTGGCCAGAAGCGGTGATGTCGGCAGTGAGGCGATCAGAGCCCCGGTATGCGGGATAGGAACCAGAGCATGGCTACGCCGTGTCTGAGTGATCCTGTGACAGGAGCGGCTGCGGGTATGGAAGACACAACGCCATGCCTTATGGCGGATGGCGGAACAACGTCACGGAGGGCGCTGCGCCTTGCGGCAGATGGCAGCACAGATGGCGCCACGCCTCACGGCGGATGGCAGGTCAGAAAAAAAGTATACGCCACGCCTCACGGCGGAAAGCCAGGCAGAACAGGCTCCTTCCACAGCAGACTCCAGAGGCTAACGGAGTGCTGCAAGGATGGATTCGTTGCTGACTGCTGGGGTCCTGTACCGGGTGAGTCGGGTCCCAGTGGTCCACTGCCATCACATATGGGAGAAGGGGGGACTGGGGTAGGTGGCCACTCAGGAATTGGGAGCAGCTCAGGGGGAGTTAGAAGGCCCACGCAAGCATCAGGTTTTCAGGCCCAGGAACAGTTCAGCTCCAAAGGAGGTAGGCCCAAAAAGACACCAGCTAGCAATTTACAGATAATGCCCTTGCCATCTGCAAGGGCAGGAGGGCAGGCAGTGGGGTGGCACCTAGGAAGGCAACAAGAGCAGGTTTTATGCTTGGTGTCCTACGCATCATTCGACAATGCTGTCAAGTTGGTTAGGCATGCGCGGGTGTGGCATTGATGGCTGAAGCTCACGTGGAATCTGTTTTTTTCGTCTGATACCAATTCATCCCCATTGTCACAATCTTCTTGGCTGTTACTTAGAGGGTAAGTACTTTGTAGACCTTTGTTTGCCCATGTGATGCTCCATCTCATGTGCTTGTTTTGAAAAATTCCCTCCAGTTCGGATGCCTGTTGCATAGGAATGTGTACACTGGAATGAGTTGCCCATGTTTTTGGAGTCCCTTTGGCGGCTAACAAAACGGTGGAACCAACCTCTTGTCTTAGTTTTTTGGGTCTTCAAATTGATTTGGTAGCAGGGGAATGTCATTTGCCGGAGGATAAGTTGGTGGCGCTTCGCCAGGCCGTTCGGGAAGTTCGGGCGGAACGTAAAGTGACGTTTCGTGTTGTTTTGCATGCAACAAAATCAATTTAACATTGTTTTTCGGGTGCGTCATGGGCCTGGATTTTTGAATATCATTGCTGATGTGCTGTTTCGTTTACAGTGGGGAAAGTTTCGGGTGGTGTCTCCGGGTGCTCGGTCAGAGGGTCTGGTCTGTCACTTGCATGGGGATTGTCATATGACAATGTTATATGACAATCCCCATGCAAGGGGTACGCCCACATGGACCTTGTTGGGTACTGCAATACAAAATTATAAACCAATAACAACAAGGTTACAATGCATGACACTCCCATGTACAATACAATAAGCCTTCCCCTTTACTTAGGAGATAATTGAGTCAGGCACTATACTAAACTCAATTTTCTCCAAACACAAAAAAACTAATTTTTACAAACCCCCCAAAATACCTTTAAAAAAAATAACACCCCTGATAGCCCTGATCTGGGTGACCAACATATCCAAAAATCACCAAATCAGTTCAGGGGTTCAAGAATTCTATGGAAGTAATTTATTTGACCGACCGCAGGCATGGTCCCATGCCCAAAACAGTTCCAGAGAATCAGGGTTTGTGGTTGGTGTAGTTCAGTAATTTGAAAACGAACAAACTACCGAACAGAGTCAATAGTCTTACCCTGGAGCTTGTTCCCTTCATCCAGATGAATGATCCCACTGAACAGTGCTCTTCTAACTTGTATAGAACCGAACGCAGGCGATAATGGAAGTCCAGCGGTGTCCAGGAGTTTCTGTATCCGATTTTAGTTCCAGGAGATTCATGCCCAAACACCGCTGCCTGTATTCAACAAGATGGCCACTACCTCGTGGTTGTCCATAGGAATTGCGGCCACCCAGATGAACAATTAGAACACTGTGGTGAGAAACATTCCAAGTTGTTAATAGGTTTTAACAAGCTCCAGGGTGGTCTCTGGTTCATGCAAGTGTGTGGTAAATGAACCATATAGTCCCAATTGCATGAACAAAGCCTGTTTAAATTATTTTAGCCGGGTCTATTGCAAGGGTCACAGGGTAAGAGGCTGGCCAGCAGGCTCCTCCAAGAACCAGTGACGAGGTTCAATTCGTCACAGTGAGGGGTAGTCGAGCTGGTGGGGGAGGAGGGCATTCAATTGGAGGATGTTGAGTTAACTGATGTTTTTGGTAAAGGTTGCATGGTTACTCTTTATTTGTTACAGGGATTGACAGTGTGTCTGGTTTTCTGTGCTTCTGCCTATTTAAAAGCTTTTCAGATGCATGATTATGGGTTATCTTTATCAAAATACCAGTTTTTCCATGTTTGTAGCTTGGGTCTAGGCCATTTGTGGTTGGATCCTTTACAGTTCGGCACATATTCTTTTAGGATTGGGGCTGCAACGTAAGCAGCACGGTTGGACCTAGGGGGCAAATTAGTAAAAAGGACTGGACGTTGGGAGTCTGTCAGGTTCCGGCCATACGTGAGATTAGACCGTTTGATATAATTTTTTTTTTTTTAAATTACTACATTTTGGTTGTTCCTTGTTGGTAACATGTTTCCTTTCTTTCATAGGTTGGGTCGCCTGGTTGGTGGGCCACTCATTCGTTCATTGGGCGCACAAAAGAGCCGCAGTTAGACATCACAGAGGAGAGCTGGGCTTTCCACGGCACTTGGTCCAATTATATTGGTTTGGCTATTGGGGTTTTGGATGGAGGGAAGTGTGTTCAGAGATTTTTAGGCGTTTAGATTCAGGGCAGTCACTGGATTTTCTGTTGCTACATGCAGGGGGTAACGATTTGGGTTGGGTGCCCCAAGGGGAACTAGTGCATTGTATGAAATGGGACATAGATAAGTTGAGGGCTATGGTGCCAGGTGTAGTTTTAATTTGGTCGGAGATGGTGCCCCGGTTCCATTGGCGTCATGCTAGGTATCCTGTGGCAGTGGCTAGGAGCAGGGGGAGAGTTAATAAGATGTTGTCCATTTTTGTTAGACGCATTGGGGGTATAGTAGTTGTGAGACATGTTGAACATGTTGAATTGGTAGCCAGGCTTCCCGGTTATTTTCGGCATGATGGGGTGCACCTCTCTGACGTAGGTAACAACTTTATTAATATGGGTTTTCAGGAAGGCTTGCAGCGGGCATTGTTTAAGCGGGGGTGGGGCACTCAGCATGAGGAGTCAATCTCTGAGCTGTGGCTGGGGCTAGATAAGACATTGGGGGGTAGGTAGGTTTGGTAGCTGTGATGTTTGGAAGTTTGGTAACAATATTCACATGGTTGAACTTGTTAATTGGTAGGTTTTCTCTCGGTATACCCCTACAATGTTAAATCACTTGGAATATGATGCCTGTTGTGGCTGTGTCTTGTGTACTGTTATTCTTGTTATATGGATTATTGTTAGCTTATGTTATGGATCATTGTCAGTGGGTATAGTACTGTTAAAAGTTGGGGTGAATTATGTGTCTATGTTAAAATTGGGTATGTTTGGCAATGACCCATTTTGTTATTTGTATAGTTAATTATATATATATATTTTATTAAAGCCGTGATATTATATCCACTTTAAATATGGTGTCCGTGTCTTTTTGGGGGGTTTAAGGTTATGGTTTTATAACATATGCAAAAAGGACGACTATGCGCATGTCATGTCAGCTTGTACTAATGTTTTAGCAAAGATTGACTGAGTATCCTAGTGACCGTTGTGCTGAAAGGTCAAATGATGTTTAGTCTTAGTGACATCCAAACTGTTTAGCTTCCACAGGTTTCATAGCAACAAACTGCGCAAAGCTTCACACACAAACAAGACGCGTGGATGCAAAGGAATGTAGAAAGAGAAGCCTAAACAAATGCAGACACAACTAAACAAATGCAGACGCATTTTGTTATACAGGACAATGAACTTGGTATCGTTACTAAATAGCTCAGTATGTGGTTTGACCTCTTTATTGTCAGCACATTAACCCCTTAAGGACACATGACATGTGTGACATGTCATGATTCCCTTTTATTCCAGAAGTTTGGTCCTTAAGTGGTTAAAGGAATACAGCATAGCTTCACTGTATCTTAATATGAAGAGGCTACTTGCTGTGGATGTGTTAGATGTGGCAGTGCTTGTGATTAGCTTGTATAGTGAACCAGACATGCATGAGAATTTAAGACATTTATTACCCCACTACCACAACATTTGGCTCTGATATTCTGCCCCAATGTGTAAATAAAACCAAACTAAAAATGTTACCTAAATGTTACCTATAATAATACATTTGTATAGACAGGGAGAGTGTGTCAGGTTGCTGGATGTGCAACCTGCACAGCCTTTAATGCTCAGTATGCAGGCAAGGTGAAACTTGCTCTAAAAGATCAAACCGGGGGCATTTGTGAAAACATAACCTGTTCTAACAAGTTATTCAATAAATTGAAACAGAAATTCAAAGTAATTTTTAACTTATAGGCCCATATAGCCAAACCAAAACATAACTGACTTCTATAAATATTCAATTTCTGCTACAGTGACCCTAATGCGTGACATTCACTTTAAATCCCAGACACATTATACTTTAGTGAATAACCCTGTTATAGTGCTGCTACTTCACCACGATGTGGAAAAAGGTTGTTACAAATTTAAGATTACAGGTCTTATTCTATAATATTTTTTAGTGTTTTACTGCAATCTAGGTCACCCGTGAGGCTGAATAATAAATGAGCTGCTATTTTAGTTTATTAATATATTTAGCATTTATAATTAATTCTAGTTTATTAATCCAACACAAATAATGTGCTGTACTTCAGTTACATTACACAACATATACTTGTTTGTCAAGATAATTTCACAATATATTCATGCTGTTTAGGATAACACATATAGCTCAACCTCTTTTAAATTGTTATTGCTCTGTTTAACTTGTGCGTTGATATTGTTTTAGATGTGTTACATTTATATATATTATTGCTCATATAGTTATGTATTCAGAAGCCATAAATGGGCACCATTCACTTTTCCACCTGAGATTAGGGAATCTATAATATAGTGTATTACACATAGCATTGGTTTATCTTCCAGATCAACCAGATTAATGTCTTTGGACAGAGAGTTTGTAAGCGAACTAATTATTGTCTTTTAGCTGAGGTGGAACTTGGTATTTTAGACTTCAGGGCAACATTTTTGCTGGGTCTCCTTTGTTTGCACCCTCCCCACATATTTATGGAATACACATACATATACTTACATACATACATACATACATACACAAATAGGCAACATATAGACACACACTGATATTCACACCCAAGCACACATGAGCAGTGTATACAAATATCAACTATTCATATTAGAGGCGTAACTAGAAACCACGGGCCCCGGTGCAAAATTTGCACCGGACCCCCCATACGTCTACCTCCACCCCGTACGTCCCTGCCCCCCATACATCTACCCCCCCACACGTACCCACCCCGACACACATACATACAAACACACACATACAGACACATATGCACACAGACAAATACATACAAACACACACACATACACACAGAGACCCATACAGACACACACACAGAGACCCGCTGCTCATAGGTGGGGGCCGGGGGGACGCTTGGTCCCCCCTTCACTTTAATAGCCCCCACTCACTTGTCACAGGTGGGGGCTCGGGAGGGGGATCACTAGGGCTGCTCACTGTTTAGTAGACATTCCCCTGCTAGTGGCATAACGAGTAGGGGCATTTGGGAGATTTTAGAGTGAGGGAGTACATGGGAGGCTTAGGAAGTGGCGGGGAACACTGCTCCATGCCGCTTCTATTTTTACATATTACAAGGAGAGAGCTGCGCGCCAGTAGCTCCCTCCTTGTAATAAACCAAATGAACGAACGAAGAGATCTTCGTTCATTCGTTTGAAATTAATATTCATTTATTCGTCTTTCTGATGAATGAATGAATAGATGAAATTCCTGTTCAAATGCCCAAGTGTTTAACTGGGCATGCGCAGGAATTTCACAGCGCTATCTAGTGTGGGCAGATGACGTGTCCCACAGGGACTTTATCGACCCACACAAAGAAGGGGGTGCCCAGGACCTAAGTCCGGGCACAAAATAAAGATGCAAAAATAGATAAGATGGAGGGGGGCTTAGGGGCATTTGGGGCTGACTAGGGGGACAATTAGATGCAGTGGAGTCGGGTTAAAAAAAAAACGGGATTTGGCCATGACAGTGCCGCTTTAATTACAACTTGAAATAATATTTCTTGTACTTTGAGAGAGAGAATGGATTGGCAAACAGTGCGGAAAGTTTGTCCTGCATTTTATTTTGTGAAAAGATAAATGCCTTGTTGTTTTGGCTCTGTTAACCATCTGGTTTGGTAGACTGACCTTGGAGAGATATACAGTGTAAGTAAATCTGACTCTCATAATACAGAACATAATCCCATTAACAGTGTGCTATCTCTGTGAAGTTTATACTGGTGAAGGTTTTAAAGACGAAAGGCCTTAAAAAGGCACTCGAAAACTTATTAAAATGAAAGTGATTTATTAATAATAATAATAATAAAAAATAATAACGCAATACAACTGCAGACAGGGTTGTGCAAAATTCTGCTTTGATACATGTTAAAAAAATAATTACTTGTGTCAAGCAAACTGCACCAAATGTTAATCACTTTTCTATATTGGATGTTTGTCTATTGCTAATCATTTTATATATGTGCAATGTTTTTAAATTTGTTAGAATTGCAATTGTTGTTGTTCAATTATGGAATGCTTCTATATGAGTAAGGAGGCCACAAAGCTGCACCTTAAAGGGAACACTCCAGGCACCCAGACCACTTCTGCCCATTGGAGTGGTCTGGGTGCCAACTCCCACTACTCTTAACTAGAGATGTCGCGAACCGTCCGCGAACTTCTCGCAAACGGTTTGCCGCGGTTCGCCACAAACTGTTCGTGGCGAATTCCGGTCAGCTGACACATCCCGGCCAATCTCCTGCAGACCCTCCCTCCCAGACCCTCCTACTTCCTGGACAGCAGGAGGGAGGGTCTGCTGGAGATTGGCCGGGATGTGTCAGCTGACCGGAGTTCGCCGGAGAAGTTCGCGGACAGTTCGCGACATCTCTACTCTTAACCCTGCAAGTGTAATTATTGCAGTTTTTTATAAGGGTTAACACCACCTCTAGTGGCGGTCTACTAGACAGCCACTAGAGGGCACTTCCTGGAGCGTCGCTGGACGTCTTCACGCTATGTGAGGACCTCCAGCGTCGCTCATTTTCCCATAGGAAAGCATTGAAATGCATTTTTAATGCTTTCCTATGGGGAGCGCTAATGCGCATGCACGGCATTGCCGCGCATGCGCATTAGGTCTCCCCGGCTGGTGGGCGGGATCAGTCTCCCCCACCGGCTGACGCAATCAGAGGGAGGAGCGGTGCGGAGGAAGAAGTAGCGATGTGGGACTCTGGTAAGTCACTGAAGGGGTTTTCACCGCTTCAGCAACCGGGGATTGGGGGGTAGGAGGGAGAGGGGACCTGCAGTGCCAGGAAAACGGATTTGGAGTATCCCTTTAATGCAACATCAGCAGGTGAAATGCGTTGGATTATCACATTGCATATAACGTTATGGTATGGGAGTTTCTGGGCACACACTGTAGTTATGTGCTGACCTTAGGAAACAAGTGGAGAAGAAAAGCCTGTAAAACAGATTTGTTTTTAATAAATATTTGTTTTAAAATTGGCATACTGAGAGAACCCGATTCATATAATCATGAAGGATTGAAGTAGTTGATACAGTTAGATGATTGCATTGTAAATAAAATAAAAAAGTATTACCTGCTAACCATTTTATATACGTTTTGTTTGATGAGAATCTATAGAATAAGTCAGCAAATGTTCTCCAACAGTGAGGACCACTGGATCAGCTAATTCAAGTGAAAATCCCAATAATATATGAAGTTAAACTTGGTTCTGTACTTGCCATTCAATTCTGCTTTTTATATCAATAAATCCAATAACACGCGTTTGTGTCTGCAGGGGCATGATCTACTCACCAAAACCACTCACTCCTTTCAGCTAAAGTTGTTTTGGTGCCTTTAGTGTCCCTTTAATCAATAAAGGGCACTATTTTCTAACCCAACACATTTCACCCTATTTTATGGACTTTCTCAACAATATATCATATTGCTGTTTATACCACTAGCTACTTTCCTAGTGATTGAGCAATAATAGTTTTGCGTCCTAGTAAACTAGTACTGTGTTTCCCCAACAATAAGACATCCCGTGAAAATAAGCCCTAGTTGAGATCGTCGCTAATTCCCCGAACATAGATTTGCGGGATTCTATGCGCTAGTAAGCTAGTAAGCTAATCTATGTTCGGGGAAGTTAATAATTACAATGTAAGGAAGAGATTTTCTAGTCCACTCCTTCCTAAAGGAAATGTCTACCCACTCTTTTCAATTGAATGAGCATCACATATAGACCCAGAGGAAGAAACCTGTAGGGGGACAGGAAAGCTACGAAAATGTGTTACTTCACTACTGCATATTATTATTACTGGGGACATGATTGTTTGTGATCCACAGGAGTGACAGCTCACCGATGGTTACATACTTGGCAGAAATAACTGTACTAATGTTCAATGCAGAGATAGAGTGTTCAGTTTCCCAGATGATGGATGTAGGGCATCATTCCTATTTGAGATATATATATATATATATATATATATATAATGATTATTTTTTTGAGACAGGAAAAGATTTAAGCAATATACTGTTTTAAAAAAAGATAAAATAAACGTGGGAAGACTATGTGGGCTAATGCTTAATTTATTTAAAGGAATCTTCTTTATAGGTCCCTTGATACATGTCTTCTTTTTTCTCTCTCCTTTTTTTTCCTGTTACTTAAAATTTGGCAGCTTATTGTTCCTATCTTGAGACATGATTGTTCCTATTATTTGAGAATGAGAATTTGCTTGTATGCTATTAATATGCTATTTTATGTTTTGGAATATTGCCAGTGATTACTGTCTTAAAATAAAGAATTGAAAAATGTTTTGAGCATTTTTGGAACTGAACTTGACCATATGGTAATAGACTTTGCAGAGCTGCAGAGATTACATTACATTCGTAACAAATGAAATATATCAATAGTATAATAGTGGAAGTTCATTCCATGTAAAGCAGAAATCTGTGATGGCATGGCACTCTGGTATCAAGCACTAAGGCATAATAACTCCAGTGAACGCAAACTACTACTACTACACTCATGGCGTGAATTGCATTAAATGCAGAGTGCATCCCGCCTATCTAAAGTGAAATTTAAAAAGGTGAACACAATTTAGGTAATAAGGGAGGCTAACTAAGTTTTATTAAATGAGAATAAGGAACAATATGGGATTTCTAAGTTATACCCTTGTCTTGACTTCTGGGAAACATGTCTACACAAGCACGCACGCACGCACAGATAAACAATAACAACTGGTAAAAACACGTTACATATTTCTTTTTATATATTTTGATGCTGTGCAGGTACTATTAATACTCATTCTGCCTCAATTGTACAGGTCCTGGAGTACGTTTCATAATGTGGCCATATAATAAGGTGTATTTAAAGAGACACTATAGTTACCAGAACAACTACAGCTTATTGACTTTGTTCTGGTGAGTAGAACCATTACCTTCAGGCTTTTTGCTGTAAACACTGTCTTTTCAGAGGAAATGCAGTGTTTTCATTACAGCCTAGTGATATCTTCACTGGCCACTCCTCAGGTGGCTGTTAGAGATTCTTTCTGGGTCATGGCAGCCTAAAATGCATCCAAACATTCAGTATCTCCTCCCTCTGCATGCAGACACTGAACTTTCCTCATAGAGATGCATCGATTCAATTCATTTCTATGAGGAAATGCTGAATGGCCAGGGTTGTGTTTGAATCATGCTGGCTCTGCCCCTGATCTGCCTCTTTGTCAGTCTCAGCCTATCCTATGGGGAAGCATTGTGATTGGATCAGGCTACCACTTTTGATGATGTCAGCAGGCAGTGGGCAGGTCAAAAGAAAACAGTGACAAAGCAAGCAGCTGCAGACTTGAATACAACTAAGATTTTACTATATTTAGGGAGGCATGAGGAGACCAGGGTGGCTAGATGGTGGTTTTAACCCTGTAGGGTCAGGAATGCATGTTTGTGTTCCTGACAATATAGTGTTCCTTTAAGTGTAATTTATGATGGGTGATCCTTGACCATCATTTTACAGGGTGCTGTATCCAACTTCTATGAGCAGATCTCATCCAGTTGTAAACTGCTGCAGAATTTGTTGGCCCTATATAAAAATAAATAATAATTATGTGACAGAGTTTTACCAACTTACCATATACTGCCATTATCTAAAGAGATCCCCCTTGAATCTATAGTTTTATTTTTTTCCTAACATTGCAAATTCAGTAGAATTCTGTAGAGTCTATACTAATATTAAGTAAAATAAATAAAATAAAGGAGACAATTATTTTAGATGGGGTAAAATGTCCACGGGGAGGCTGATCTGGTTTGGTGCCGAATCGGGTCCTGAAAAGCATGATGTCTCATTTTGGCACTCATTCATTGTTAGCTCTATGTCACCTGCAATATTGACAGAATATGCTATAATTTATGACAGTGCCACTTTATTGCACCATATTTTGAGTAATAATACAGCAAAGTGTGAGGTATGGGTGTCGGTGCAGGTTTTGCAGTTTTAATGCAGTGGATGTAATTTTCTAAATGCTGTGAACACAGGGTTAATACAGCATGGTGCGGGGTTAAAAAATCATGTATTCATCCCTTAAAGGGGTAACATAAATGGGCCTAATAATTACTGCATTACACCCCGCTGCACAGGAAGTCAAGGATGGTGTAAGGCCAAATTGTTGGGCTCCTATCCAGCGGTGGAACTAACACCAGTTGAGTCAGTGCAGCTGCACCGGGGCCCGCACGCTGACGAGGGCCCATCAAGTGGCACATGCATTTAGGCTCATTAAGTTAGGGCCACCCGATGGCAATGTGTCTTCAGGGGCATGGCCATGCATTATAGCACCTAAACAAAATGACCAGACCCCTTAATAATGGCTGCCATCTCTGAGAGGAAGTAAGAGCCTTACTTTGTCCCAGATAGAGGCCACAGGAGGGAGAGAGGATAAACAGGAGGGAGCACGGACTGAAAGAGCCAGCTAATAACTCCCAACAACCTCAGCCAGTGAAAACAGCCTTCTCTGCCCACAAGATAGGAAACAGAAGGTTGGCTAAAAACACACAACACCACACACAAATGTATTTATTTATTTATAAAATATTTTACCAGGAAAGATACATTGAGATTTCTCTCGTTTTCAAGTATGTCCTGGGTCCACAAATCATTGCATTGTTACATTAGGGTACACTAGAATACAAAAACAATATTAATACACAATAAATACAAAATTTAACATAGAACAGGTAGGAAATATATAATCAACCATGACAGGTGCATTCTGTTTTGAGGTATGTAGAGAATGATCTCTTAAAGGACTTTAGGCTTAGGGAAGATTTTAAATTGTGCAGGAGGTCGTGCTCTGTAGGAGAAGGAGGATCGGGCTGCTTTCTTTTTGTATTGAGGTAGACTAAGTAAAGTGTTGGTACTGGATCGGAGGTTATAGGAAGTGGGAACAGCTGGGGAAAGCATTTTGTTCAGGTAGGGTGGGAATTTCCCAGAAAAGCTCTTAAACACAAGGCTGGAAAGATGAAGAGTACGTCTCGATTACAGCGACAGCCAGTTTAGTTCTGAGCATGTCACAATGGTAGGTCCTGTAATTACATTGTAGCACAAATCGGCAGTGCGAGTTATACAATGTGTTGAGTTTATTAATGTGGGATTGCGATGCAGATGCATATACTAAATCCCCATAATCAATGATTGGCATTAGCATTTGCTGTACAATCTTTTCCTTTACTGTAGGGCTTAGGCAGGATTTGTTTCTGTACAGGGCACCTAGTTTTGGATAAAGTTTAGATGCAGGCTTTTCGATGTGGAGGCCAAAAGATAGTTTGGGGTCTAACATCATACCCAAGTATTTGAAAGAGTGGACTGCGGTCAGTGTGCCATTTGAATTTGTTTTGATGGATAGGTGGGAATTGTGTAATTTGTGTAATTTAGGTACTGTTCCAAAGATCATCGTGACAGTTTTGTCAGTGTTCTGGAAGAGTTTGTTTGTAGCGATCCACTTTTCTACCTCTGTAAACTGGTCTTGGGGCACAGCCTCAAGCTGCAGTAGATTGGATTTGCTCGCATAGATTACTGTGTCATCTGCGTACATGTGTACATTTGAGGATTTGCAGACATTAGGCAGATCATTTAGTAATAATGTAAATTGTAGGGGGTCGAGAATGGAACCTTGGGGAACACCACACGTGACTGAGAGAGAGAGGGAGTCGCTGTCAGAAATGGACACATATTGCGAGCGATCCGATACATACGGTCGAAACCAGGTTAGCGAACGATCACCAATACGTGAGTTTTTGAGTTTGTGCAGTAGAATGTCGTGGTCTACTGTGTCAAAGGCCTTAGGAAAATCAAGGAAAATAGCTCCAGTTAGGTCTCCTTGTTCCATGCCAGTTTGGATGTCATTGCAAACTTTTAAGAGGGCAGTTGTAGTGGAGTGATTCTGGCGAAAGCCTGATTGATCAGGGGTCAGATAGTTTGATTGTTGGTAGTACTCACATAGTTGCATAGGGACACATTTTTCTAAGATTTTTAACAATACCGGGAGTAATGATATTGGGCAATAGTTAGAAACCAAAGTAGTGTCACCACTTTTATGGATAGGCACTACTCTCTCAGTCTTTCAAAGTTTGGGTATGTATCCAGACACCAAGGATTCGTTAATTAGGGTTGCGACGGGTTTAGCAATTGCTGGCGCACTGAGCTTCAACAACATTGCTGGGATTTGATCAGGTCCAGGCTGGTTTTTCATATTTAGATTATTTAGGTGTTTTTTAATGATACTAATAGGTACAGGTCTAAAAGTAAACTTGTCTGTGTTGGGTCTTTGCAAATTTAGTGGTGCCTGATCCACATTTGTAGTTTCAGCATGTGTGTCATTTATTAGCTTGGCAATCAGGGCAGTAGAGCATCTGACAAAATAATTGTTAAAGGCATTTGCTACATCTAAGGGAAGTTGCAGGGTTTGGTTATCCACTTTGACAGTGGAGGATTCGGAGTGGATTGGGGGAGTTTGTAATTTATTTATGACTTTCCAAATGTTTCTAGGGTTTGATAGGTTATTGTTCAGATTTTCACAGAAATATTGGGCCTTGGCCAATTTTGTTTGTTATGTGCATATATTTCGCCATTGTCTATATGCACAGTGATCATTCATAGAGCCAGTACGCTTGAACTTTGACCACAAAGAATCCCGAAACTGGTACATTTGGATGAGGTCAGCTGTGATCCAGTTCATATGTGCTCCTTTTACCCTCACCTTACGCAGGGGGGCATGCAAATTCCAAATTTGTAGGAGTTCAGACTGAAAGAATTCAACAGCACAGTCTAGATCTGGGATAATGTTTAATCTGTGCCATGGGAGGTTCTTGATGTCATTAAGAAAGGATTCAAGATTACATTTTTTGAAGGACCTGGTGATTTTAACCTTGGGAGAGGATTTAGTAGCCTTTATTTTGCGCACGCAGTATACTAAGCAGTGATCACTGAAACTGTTTGGGAGAACACCTACCTCCTGGATTCTATCAGGAGAAGTGGAGAGAATCCAATCGAGCAGGGTATGGTTATGGCTTTTAATGTTTATACGAGTTGGTGAGGAGATTAATTGCGTCAACTGCAAAGTCTTAAACAGCGTGCAAGAACTATTATTTTTAGGATTCAGCCAATCAATATTAAAATCTCCAAATACCAACAGTTCACTTTTTGGGTTTTGAGCTATGTTTTGACTAAGGAGATGGGCTATGTCCGATAGGGAATGCACTGGGGAGCTAGGTGGGCAGTAGATTCCTGCAACAATAATTGATTTACTGCACGGGATCCTCCTCTCTTTGCTCTGTCATATCTAAAACATAAATAACCCTGTATTGCAATGGCAGTGTCTGGTATTTTAGTCGTTAACCATTATTCTGAGAGTACAATGATTTTTGGTTTGTAATGGGAACACCAGGCTTGCAGTGCATCCAGTTTAGGGAGTAAGCTACGGATGTTGCAGTGCACAAAAAGAGGCCTTTTTTAGTGGGGAGATTAGGACTAGAATTAGCTGGGGGACCAGGGTTAGACTCCATATCATTTGCAAGGGCAAGTAACATAAGAAATAGGAATTTGGACATCATTTTTGTTTGTCCATATATTGAATGGGATACTTTATTATTTTGTGAGGTGGGGGTATGAGGGCTATTTTTTATAACTCTCCACCAGCACTCAGCAGATAAGTTACAGGAACAGAACATGCCATGTTGTATGATAATTTGTGTTCCAGTTTGAGGTGTGTGCTTATGCTGGTAGTTATGTGAACAAAATTGGATTGAGAAAAGGGTTAGAAAGAATAACAGTATGGTTATATTTGGATTCATGTTAGTGGTATGAGGTGTGTAGTTCAGACTGAAACAGAAATCGTGAAAAACAAAAATTAAATAAAGCTCTATAATATTGGTGTGTGATATATATCTATTTGTAGAGAGAGAGGGTATGTGTTCTATAGGGTTAAGAGATTGGAAGGGTGTGCTGATCAGTGTTTGCACCTGTCATACAAATATACCCGTACATTCAATTACACAAACTCCATACAAAACCAAGCTTACATTCAAACTCACAAACACTACTCAGTGCTAAATACAACCTTACAAATGGAATTGTATGACAGATGGGGATCTACCTTTTGGCTCACCTTGCAATGGTGAGGGGGAACTGGGCAACAAAAAAATATTGCAGCAGTGCCCTCTCTACTTTAGTTCTGCCACAACTCCTATCCTTTATTATTAAGGTTCCAAAGCAACCCCACTTTTCATTTTTTTTTTATTGTTAGCTACACCATAATTACTGAGGTGTGGTAGGATAGATAACCCATTTAAAATGGCAAGAGTAGTGGACTGATGTATAATGATGGAGTGACCAAACGTATAGTTGGTATGATTTTCAAAAATAGTAGGTTTGAAGGATTTCCTAAGGAACAGGAGACCACTGTGTAGTGGCATGAGAAAGGGCACTGCATAAGATTTGGCTTAGCCCTAGATAGGTCTTGTAGGTTAGTTTTGTATGTGTAAATGGAGATTGTGGGTAGACTTAGTCTGATCTGCTGGCAGAAAAAAAGGTGTTGTGTTAGTGTTTTTGGTGATTAGTGATGATATCTTTGTATCAGTATGGAGCATTTAGTAAGGGAACATTGATATTTTAAATTGAATCCAAAAGAAAATGGGAAGTTGATTCAAAGATTTACATTGGGGTTAAGAGTGGGAGTTTAGGATCATAAGTCCGGCAGCTGCTCCCTTCATGTTAGAGGAATATCTGGGCATTTTAGGACTGATAAACAGTGGGATATAATCAGCTCGTAAAAAGGTACTTTGCTGCGGTAGAAGTGTAAAAAAAATGTTTTTAATGATGAAACTGTCAAATCCACCAAATGTGTTAATCTATGGGAAGCATACTTCAAGGTACTAATGAGATGGTATTTAGTGCCCGATAGGTTGAGTAAAATATATCCAACGGCTGCTCCTACATGCTGGAGGTGCAATAGTGGTAGGGGCACAATATTACATATTTTCTGGGAATGCCCACACCTGGATACTTTTTGGAAATATGTGCAGAACGTCATACACACCATCTCCGGGCTACAACTCTCCCTACGTCCTGATTTCTACTTGCTCCATTTAATACCGAACGCACACCAACTACCCTCAACGGCAGCTGTAATTAATACTCTGATTGCGGCAAAATTATGTATTGCGTCTCATTGGAAGAGTGACTTTATCCCATCAGCAAAAGAACTGCTAAACAGAATAAACACCACATACTGCTATGAAAAGGAATGGGCCATAAAAGGGAACATGACCAAATTTAACAAACAATGGAAAGGTTGGGAAACCACGTACAAACACCGCATCGACTCGGGATAAATTCCGTCTCTAGAATGGAGTGAACTCTCAGACGTCATTTAAGGTCGCTCGGATGTGAGGGTCTCAGGTCTCAGGCCTCAAGTCTCTTGCCTCTTGTTTCCTATCTTCAATGACCTAACTTCTCTCTCGTTCCTCCCCTTTCTCCCCCTCTCCTTTCTCTACTCTCTCCTTGCTCCCACTGTACTTCCTCCTCGCCTCCCCCACCCTCTTTCCCTTTGCATCTCACTCTTGTTCATTATCTCCCCTCTACCTCTTATACATCAACTCCTCAAACACTCCAAAATGACTAATCTAAAGGGCCATCGTCTAAGCAAATGCACAATGGAAAGCACGGCTCTATGGCTGGACTGACTGTCCTCACGCAATATATGACACTCACCAGAATGTACCAGTAGGCAATATTCCAGTCAAACTATTTGAATCTAAACATGGTATGTCTGTAGACAAATCCCCTATCAGTGGCTCCCTCCCACCTTCTTTATAACCACAAGGCCATTATTAACGCATGTTGTACCAGGTACAGTAAACTAAGCACTACTCTGACCTCTCCATGGCTTCTGACCTGATCTATTAACACCCCAGCATACAGACGCTACTATACCGTCAATAGGAGAATCACACGTTCTCGAGTAAGAACCATTAATAATAACATTAATCAACGGTCCCTCTAGCACCTGTACCTCAACTCAATCTAGCGTCACAGGACCTTACAGGTGATATATGCCATTCTGAATATGCCCCAGCATGTTGGATCAGTCTATTCCATTCCACTCTAGACCTGCCATGTCCTAATCATTGCTGTAAAACCCGAAGACGCTACGATGTTCTCTGTATGTAGACTATATACACTTGTTTGAATATTATGTACACTTACATTAAATTACTGTACGGTTATTATATTAAGAACTCTGGCAGCATAATGCTTGCTCGTATGTACAACCCACCATGTAAACGTTTCTGTATTGAGTGAAATGTACAAAATCCAACCTGTCTGTAATCCCCCCCCACCTACCCCCCCCCCCTTTTCTATTTTTCTGTATCCCCACTGTTATTTTACTCTTATGCAAAACTCTCCAATAAAAATCAGACACGGAAAAAAAAAATGATGAAACTGTCAAAAGTTTGAGATTGACGTATGGATGGGGGTAGTAGAAGAGACATCAGATTCAGAAATGAATCTAGGACAGTGTCGTTGGTTGCACTGATGACCCGAAGGAGGACTAAGATAGAAGGATTTGCATTCGAGGGAGGAAAGACAAGATAGTCTATTTTGTAGAGATTACATTTCGGAAAGTGGCAGTTTTCCAAATACCATGAGAACATTGTGCCTGGAGAGTCAAACTACAAAAAGTTTAAATTCTTGGGTGGAAAATATGATTACGAAAACCAGTCGTGCCAAGCTATACAGCTGGTGCAAAGGTGTCACAAAAGACACGTGAATATATAAATTTAAGATATACACTGGAAGCTGCATCTCACACACACCCTGTTTATACATACACTCAGTCATCTGCCGCCATGTGCTGTTTTGTGGGATAATTTACTTCTAAATGTTACAGAAGCAGGACAAGATTATTATTATCACATGAGTGTACTTGATGAGATGAGTCATGCGTAATAATGTTGTAAATGTAATCATTGTATGTACACTGAGCAGCATTTGTTCTCTCAATTATTGCTGTTTTCTAGACAAAATCTATGCATTGGTAGCACAATATCACATAAAGTCACTCTATGTGTCAGCAGGATGAGCTGTCTGGGTTGTTAAACGACTTAAAGTTAACCCAGAAGACAATAGCTCGGTATGAAAAAGGGCAATGGTTGCATGTTGCCGTGCATGCTGAATGGGAAGATAAGAATATGTAGTCAGCAATGGGCTAAAAAGGGAAAAAAACTAAAATACAATTACGAACAGGAGTCAAATGATAAGTAATCGGTGGTGAACACTGAGAGTAAATCATTTCACTTTTAAATAGGTAACATTTAGAATCCAAGTGAAATCCTACGTAAATAGCATTAAAAATAAGGTAATACAATAATGTGCAGAGAACACAGCTAAGAAATTTGTGGCAAAACATTTGGTTTATAAATACCATTTTTGTGTACTTGTGTGGCTCTTTGTAATTGGAAGTATATGGTCATACTGATACATATGATTTTGTCACATTTCACTTATGGTTTGAGTAGACAGACATGGGAAGAGTCCTTGTGTAGCCTGTCTCTTTAGACAGTCACCTGGTTACTTCTAGAAACTCTCTACAGTGTGTTTTCTTCTTCCCACCAGGTGAGTACTTGTTCTCAATTTGTGTGATCACGATCACCAAGCTTCTATAATGATGAAAGCCAACAGGTAGGAATTTCAGGTCTAAATGTTATTGCACAATGTAAAGAACATATTTGTGTTACCTCTATATTAGAAAACAAATAGTGAGGCCCTTGCATTCATTGGCTTCTGGACTGAGCAATGTCTTAGGTCTTTGGGTACAATGTGTGAAACTTAGGAATGATGCTCACAGCCCATCATTATTTGTATTTAACATTTAATACACCCTGTTCCAAATTATTATGCAAATTCTATTTAAGTGTCACAAAGATTAAATATTTTGTTTTTCAGTTTAACTCATGGATGGCATTGTGTCTCAGGGCTCTTTTGATCACTGAAAACAATCTCGGACACCTGTGATAATTAGATTGCCAGATGAGCCCAATTTAAGGAAAAACTACTAAAAGAGGGTGTTCCACATTATTAAGCAGAGCACCATTTTCATGCATTATGGGGAAGAAAGAGGATCTCTCTGCTGCCGAAAAGAGTGAAATAGTTCAATGCCTTGGACGAGGTATGAAAACATTAGTTATTTCACGAAAACTTAAATGTGATCATCACACTATTAAGAGATTTGTGGCTGATTCAGAGCACAGATGGGTTTTTGCAGATAAAGGCACATTGAGGAAGATTTCTGACAGATCAATGCATCGGATCAAGAGAGCAGCTGCTAAAATACCATTACATAGCAGCAAACAGGTATTTGAAGCTGCTGGTGCCTCTGGAGTCCCACGGACATCAAGGTGTAGACTCCTCCAGAGTCTTGCAACTGTGCATAAACCTTCTATTCGGCCACCACTAACCAATGCTCACAAGCAGAAATGGCAGAAAAATACATGAAGACTAATTTTCAAACAGTCCTGTTCAGTGATGAGTGCCGGGCAACCCTGGATGGTCCAGATGGATGGAGTAGTGGATGGTTGGTGGATGGCCACCCTGTTCCAACAAGGCTGCGACATCAGCAAGGCGGTGGTGGAGTCATGTTTTGGGCCGGAATCATGGGAAGAGAGCTGGTCGGCTCCTTTAGGGTCCCCGAAGGTGTAAAGATGACCTCTGCAAAGTATGTGGCGTTTCTGACTGACCACTTTCTTCCCTGGTACAGAAGGAAGAACTATGATTTCTGTAATAAAATCATCTTCATGCATGACAATGCACCATCTCATGCTGCAAAGAATACCTCTGCATCTATGGCTGCTATGGGCATAAAAGGAGAGAAAGTCGTGGTGTGGCCTTCATCCTCCCCTGACCTCAATCCTATTGAGAACCTTTGGAGCATCCTCAAGCAAAAGATCTATGAGGGTGGGAGGCAGTTTACATCCAAACAGCAGCATAATCATTTGGAACAGGGTGTATATTTCGTACTATTGTGTCCCCTGCTCTTTGTGTGACTCTCTGATCTACCTTCTTTTTCTGTTCCCTTCTCCTTTTTCTCCCTTTGTGTAGCTCTTTATGTCCATCCTCCATCTCTCAGGTTTACATTGTCCATGCAATGGTTTATCTTACTGTGCAGCAAAAAGAGAATGTGTCAAACCATGACAGCTACAAGCAATCCGTCCAGTCGCACACCAATAAGGCCATCCCTAACAATGGAACACATTTTAGGATACCCCAAGAATAAGAGTTACTGTTAATTCAAATTTGTTTTATTTTCATTTTTTTTATAAATATGTATTTTAAATTTTTAGAAAATGTATACATCAGGAATATTCATAGAAACATCGACTGTGATGGCTGATAAGAACCATTCAGCCCATCTAGTCTGCCCAATTTTCTAAAATACTTTTTAATAATTATTCTCTTATATCTAAGATAGCCTTATGTCTATCCCACACATGCTTAAACTTCTTCACTGTATTAACATCTACCACTTCAGCTGGAAGGCTATTCCATGCATCCACTACCCTCTCATTAAAGTAATACTTCCTGATATTATTTTTAAACCTTTGCCCCTTTAATTTACCTCTTGTTGTGGTAGTTTTTTTTTCTTTTAAATATGGTCTCCTCCTTTACTGTGTTGATTCCCTTTATGTATTTAAATGTTTCTATCATATCCCCCCTGTGTCGTCTTTCCTCCAAGCCATACATGTTAAGATCCTTTAACCTTTCCTGGTAAGTTTTATCCTGCAATCCATGAACCAGTTTAGTAGCCCTTCTCTGAACTCTCTCTAAAGTATCAATATCCTTCTGAAGATAGGGTCTCCAGTACTAAGTACAATACTCCAAGTGAGGTCTCACCAGTGTTCTGTACAATGGCATGAGCACTTCCCTCTTTCTACTGCTAATACCTCTCCCTATACAACCAGCATTCTGCTAGTATTTCCTGCTGCTCTATTACATTGTCTGCCTACCTTTAAGTCATCAGAAATAATCACCCCTAAATCCCTTTCCTCAGATGTTGAGGTTAGGACTCTATCAAATATTCTGTACTCTGCCCTTGGGTTTTTACGTCCAAGATGCATTATCTTGCACTTATCCACATTAAATGTCAGTTGCCACAATTCTGACCATTTTTCTAGTTTACCTAAATCATTTGCCATTTGGCTTATCCCTCCTGGAACATCAACCCTGTAACATATCTTAGTATCATCAGCAAAAAGACATACCTTACCATCAAGATCTTCTGCAATATCACTTATAAAAATATTAAAGAGAATGGGTCCAAGTACAGATCCCTGAGGTACCCCACTGTTGACAAGCCCAAGCTTCGAATATACTCCATTGACTACAACCCTCAGCCACTGCCTTACCCATTCAACAATATTGGAATCCAAACTTAAAGATTGCAATTTATTGATAAACCTTACTGAAATCTAGGTAAGCAATGTCTAATGCACCACCCTGATCTATTATTTTAGTTACCCAATCAAAAAAATCAATAAGATTAGTTTGGCATGATCTCCCTGAAGTAAACCCATGTTGTCTCTGATTTTGAAATCCATGTATTTTTAGATGTTCAACAATCCTATCCTTTAACATGGCTTCCATTACTTTGCCCACTACTGAAGTAAGGCTTACTGGCCTATAGTTGCCCGACTCCTCCCTACTACCTTTCTTGTGAATGGGCACAACATTCGCTAACTTCCAATTTTCTGGGACTACTCCTGTTAACAATGATTGGTTAAATAAATCTGTTAATGGTTTTGCTAGTACACCACTAAGCTCTTTTAATAACTTTGGGTGTATTCCATCAGGTCCCATTGACTTATTTGTCTTTACTTTTGACAGTTGAAATAGAACCTCCTCCTCTGTAAACTCACATGTAATAAATTACTTATTTGTCTTTTTTCCTAACTGAAGTCTCTTTCCTTAATTTTCCTCTGTAAATACTGAACAAAAATATTATTGAGGCAGTCAGCTAGACCTTTATCCTCATCTACATACCTTCCTTCTTTTGTTTTTAATCTAACTAATCCTTGTTTTACTTTCCTTTTCTCATTTATGTATCTAAAAAATGTTGTGTCCCCTTTTTTTACTGACTGTGCTATTTTCTCTTCTGTGTGTGATTTGGAAGCTCTTATAACTTGCTTAGCCTCTTTCTGCCTAATCTTATAGAGCATTCTGTCTTCCTCACTCTGTTTTTTTTTTATAATTACTAAACGCTAACTTTTAGTTTTTTACTATTTTGGCCACATCTGCGGAGTACCACAGTGGTTTCTTGAACTTTTTGCTTTTACTAACAAGTCTAATGCAATTTTCAGTTGCCTTCAGCAGTGCAACTTTTAAATAATCCCATTTCTCTTGGACTCAATTTAAATTGTTCCAATCTGACTCCTTTACACATATTCTAATTTTAGAAAAGTCTGTTTTTTTAAAGTCTAAAACTTTTGTTTTTGTGTGGTGTGACTCAGTCACTGTTCTTACATTAAACCACACTGACTGATGATCATTGGATCCTAAACTTTCACCTACAGTAATATCTGATACCAAATCTCCATTTGTTAACACTAAATCTAGTATGGCCTCTTTACGAGTTGGCTCCTCAACGACTTGTTTTAGAGACAACCCCAGTAGGCACAAGCAGCTAATTTTTTTTTCCAATTCACATCAGGAAGATTAAAGTCACCCATGATGATAACTCCCCCCTTCATTGTCATTTAGCTATTTCCTCAACTAGTAGATTATCTAACTCTTCTATTTGTCCTGGGGGCCTATAAATCACACCTACACGAGTTACTGTGTAATTACCAAATTCTAACGTAACCCAAACGGACTCGATGTTCGCCTCACTAACTTTTTTTAGGCTAGATTTTATGCTATCCTTCACATAGAGGGCCACCCCTCCCCCTTTCTTGCCTTCCCTGTCTTTTCTATATAAAGAGTACCCTGGCATTCCTATGTCCCTGTCATTTTTCTCATTATACCATGTCTCAGTAACAGCGACTAAATCTACATTATCAGTTGCCATTATTGCCACAAGTTCATGGATCTTATTCCCTAGACTGCGAGCATTTGTAGACATGACTGTTAGCGTGTCATTTTTTAACACACTTGCTAAAGGAACCTACTGTCCTTGTTTTGGAGGGCAATTAGATTGATTTTTTTATCACCCTTTTTCCCCCGCCCCCCTTCTAGTTTAAATACATCCTAGCAAAACCTCTGAACTGCTCACTGAGAACGTTTGTTCCCTTTTGAGAAAGATGCAAACCATCTTTTTTGTACAGTTTATTTCCATTCGAAACAGAGCTACCATGAGAAATGAAGCCAAATCCTTGCTCCCAACACCATTCACCAAGCCACAAGTTAAAGTCCCTAATACGCATCCGCCTGTCGCTCTGAGTGTTATGCACAGGCAGAACTTTAGAGAATGACAGTGTGGAAGCAACCTGCCGTATGTCATT